ATTAAAGAGTGAAGTCAGATTTATTGCATTTCTTGGAATGGTTATTTTCATCTCATATAGTTTTGGAATGTTTCAATTTGAGCTGAAAGTCTTGGAGTCCATGCTATACAATTTAATCCATATAAAACAAATGAAAATGTATATAAAGTTTATCATCCTTTTTATTATGGATTGATTTTAACAGATTTATGGTTTTCCAAAAGCAGTCTACCCAAGGTTTATTTAGTGTTTTGCTGCAACTTCTTGTTTGTTCTTGCAAGATAGTAATTGATTTTGTATATCTTGGTTACATACTATTTCTTTTTAATTATGGGAAAGGCCAGAAGGACTTTCTATTCATTATTCTTCACTTAGATTGCTGTTTTTTTAATCATTTTATAACAAGGAAGGTAATAAACCCACTAAGATGCAAAGGGTTATTGAGTGTGAAAGAGTGTCATTTGCATACGATAAATTTGATATTATTTGACCACCGATAGAAAAACGACTCTTACTATACATTTGTTCAGTTTCAAACATTACAGCTGATAATGCCATAGAAAAGAGAATGGCAAATAATGTATCACCTTGTTTAACAACCTTTTTGATAAAAAAAAAAAAAATGGCTAACACCAAGCTCAGTTTTTATAGCAGATCAAGAACAACCATATACAGAGAAAAATTTTATAATTTTGGGTGATGGGAAGCATTTTGAGTACCAACTGAAGTTTGTTCAGTTTAATGTTGTCAAAAGCTTTGGTGAAATCAATAAAAATAATGTGAGTTATATAGAGAAAGAAAAAAAGGTTAAAATAATGTTTACCTCAATCTTTTCAATCTGTTTGATTAACATGTCATCATCTGAAGTGATGTCAACGGGTATATTTTCTGGCAAGAGGTCATGTTCAGCTTGCTGGAGTACAACATTCATTTCAGTAATCACAATATTTACACACTCCCAATGGCTAGAAATATCCTGAAAAATAAAGAAAACATAGGAAATACATTGTTGGACATGTGACACATCTTTTATGGATATTTGCTTAAAGGCTGCCAAAGGTGATGGTTAAGTTTGATGAGAAGTCACTATATTTATAGAATTAATATTATTAGTTGTTTATTGAAAACTTAATAAAGGATGGCATATTTTAAGTCTTCAAATATGTTTTTCTTCTTCTTCTCCTCCTCATTATATATCATTTTAGACATTCTTGTTGCCTGAAGATCACAAGAGAATAAAACTCTAGTAGCAACTAAAGCTGGAAGTGTTGATGTCATGAAGTGTTTTTTTGTTCTGTTTAGATAGTGTAAACATTGAGCACTTTAATTTACTGCATAGGTGGGTATTTGCCTTTTGGACTCTTTATTTTCTTGTTCGGGATTTTTTTCTTGTCTAAAGTTTTAGGTCTTTTGACAAGTTGTCTGTTGATCACATCAACATTTTTTTTTTTTTTGTAGTAACAGTTCCAGCTAGTCTGGTAGTAGAGCACTCTATACTTTACAGTAAAAGTTATGGAGATGGATATATATATATATATATATATATATATATATATATATATATATATATATAGGCTCACAGAAATTAACTCATTTTTGTACAGAGATTATCTCCAAAATTTGAATTTTTATATCCATATATATTAACCAATCAGCAATGCCATATGAGATGCACAACATTTTTTAAATTTGCAGACAATTAAGATTTGTTGTTAGCTACAAAATTTTAGAGGATCACTTCAAAATATGATGAACAATACTTTCCTCTTTAAAATGGATATTTAAAAATTGGCAAAATATTTATTAAACAATAAAGTTAAGATTAACAAATCTAATTTTTGTTTTTTTCTGGAGCCAATGTTTCATTATAAAAGTCATCAACTTTAATTTGCAATTTAGTTTTTTTGGTTAACTTTTGACCAGGGGTTTGTCATACAAGATTGAAATTCTCACACCTTAATTAATTATGCACATTTTCACATATTTATTAGAGTATATTACAAAAAAATGCTTAGTGATAATGACACATAAAAAAAACATGCAGACTAAGTTTGTTTATGAGCATCACTGCTTATTCATGCTGCCAACTGCTACAATTTATACACATACATAAGACAACATAAATCCATGTCACACACATCAAGATGCATTGTTTCTTCCATATGAACGCAATTGATTTAGTCGTACACAAAATATTTTGTGTGAAGTTGTATCAAAAAGAATCTTTGTAATTAATTTCTAATTCATTTCTTTTAATTTGAAAAAATAATACTCAAATAATAAAAAAATTAAATTTTTTAGAGCTGTGTTGAAAATTTGTTTAATTTTTCCTTTATCCATGCATATTCCACTAATATATATATATATATATATATATATATATATATATATATATATATATATATATATGGGAAAAATGGAAAAATGCCCAAAGTCAAAAATTGATACATACGGAAAGTGTTCTAAGTCTTTCTTGTGTCTGTGTTTTCATGGAATTCCACTGATCATTCACATTTGTTACAGCAAGATAAATAACAGATTCCTTGTCTGACTCTGGGATGTCAAGTTCGTTGCCATATTTGTTGATTTTGTCAACCAAGGCCTTGTTATTATCAAGAGTTTTCACAAAATCCTGTATAAAAGAATAAATAATTCAGCATTTTTTTTCAAACTTAGTAATAAAATATAGGAAAATAGTTCAATCAAGGAAAATCTATTGAGTCTCACAGTTTCACTTATCATTTCAGTTACCTAGGGCAAACCCATGAAATCAACAGTTTGGAAGTTTTATTTATAATGGTTGCAAAGTGCAAGAGCTGCTAGCAATTCAGATATTCCAAAGAGAAGCTGTAAAATTCTTCCTTTAAATGAGAAGATGAAAATTTCATAATCTTAACAAGGAAATAAAAAAATTAATATGCTGAGGTTGCTTAGATCTACAGTAACACATTATAGTGATGGAAAAATAAATAAATCATAACAAGGAGATCAAAATTTTATCATCTCTACAAATAGATGTATATTCAGAATCGCTAGGCCATGAAGTCATATTTTAACCAAATAATCAGAAACTCTCCTAACCAGGATATGAACATCTTAGTCCAGTAAGTGAATCAATTCTCTGATGCTGTGGTCATTGTAACATACCCAGAGCTGAAATACAACACATGCGCAACACACACAATCTCGCATTAAATACTTACCTCCTCCTATCACATTTTAAGTACGTGGCTGCTTCATTTGAATACATACATATGCACACACACACACACATATATATATATATATATATATATATATATATTCTCCCAGACTCTTTCTCTCTCTTGCATGCACTTCCTTATAATCTTTACACAAAATCCATAATAGATTCATGGTCGTCTTAAGATAATATCCAATCACAGGATCTTCTTATTAAAGTATAGTAGAAGCAATGTTCCATCTTATTAGTTCTTGTTAATTTTTTTTTTTCTTTTTACAATGATGATGACCCTGTATAAGGCCCAAGAGCCACTCACAAGGGCCACAGTGTAAAATTCACCACTTCAAGCAAGGTGATAATGCTACCAGAAGTGAAAGAGAATGATAAAACTTTAGAGCGTACCAGAAACCCAGTCTTGAACAAGGGATAGACATCTACTCCTGTTCAAAACACAGGTGAGGTAGACAATAGGCAAACCCATCTATTGAGTAAAAAAGATGTAAATAAATTTTTAGATGTAGATGTTAGAAGTATACAGTTGAAGAAGACTTTCTGATAACTGAGCAATACTAAAAATAAAAAAAATATCCCTAGATATGGAACAAGAACAGTCTAACCCTATATAGTAAGTAAAGGGTTTAGTTCGAAATTTCTTGTAGGGATAGAGGGCACAGTAGCCAAAATGTTTTGAGAACACCACCAAAGATGAGGACAACTATCTGCATGTAAATAATATAGATAATTATATTTTTAACCTTAACTCTGATATGTATGTAGAGGAATAACAGTGTATATAGAATTTAATAGAATTCATGGTACCAAGGCATCAACTGGATGTCTTTGAACATATCTACAGCAGATAAGGTATTTACCTAGCCTCCACACTTAGGCAGGATATGACACAAGGTTGTTTTTAATGTGAGTAGCCCATACACATGAATATACATACAGGCCAAGGACAAAAAAAATGCCCAGTCCCCACAACCAATATATCTTGAAATACTAAAGAATAAATTTATTCAATAAAATTGCCATTGGCTTCAACCACGTCCTCCAGATGACTTTGGAATCTCCTGCAACTCTTCTGGACAGTCTCCTTGTTTAAGTTGGTGAATGCTGCCATAATCCTTGCCTTCAGTTCATCTTTAGTGTTACAAGTAGTTTTGTTGGTCTCTTACTCAACTGCACCCACACAGAATAATCAAGGAGGTAGCAGTCTGGGGAGTTAGGTGGCCTGATGTAAGGAGTGATGTGGTTGCAGAAATTGTCTGATGGCCATGACTGGGTTCTCCAGCTTGTGTAACATGATGCAGAGTCCTTTTGCCAAACAGAGTCTTCCAGCAGCCTCCCTCTTGACCCAGGGCAGCACTTGATGTAGTCCTTTGTATTGAGTTTTTGGGAGTTCTTTTCTTATTAGAACAATCAGCGTGATTTTTCCGAGCTGCCGTACCATTGTAATCACCATTAGACTCATTCAAATCCACTGCACTGTCCTCAGATTGACACCCAAACACACTGAAATGTTTGTATTGGAGCTTCCGGCACAAATGCCAAGCAGTACAAACATGCCATTTCCAAATTTTTAGTTAGTGAATTGTGTCATGGTGCTTTTTTCTCACAGACAGTGACCCTGACTAACCCTATCATACTGTGCAGTTGACAAAATCAAAAATAAACAATGCGCATGCACAAAATTAAAAATATAAAATGGCAACAATTTACCCATCATACTCTGTATAATGAACCCAACCGGAATTAAACATGGCACTCTGATTTCTCATTCCACACCATGGTCCATTACATCACCCACACCCCAAACTTACAGCACCTGTTATTCACAAGTGGTCACTCATCTAGGTACTGATCAGGTTCAATGTTGCTTAACTTCAGTAATTGTATGAAAACTGGCGTTTCAACATGATATGACCATAAGCCCATATGATGGTTGGCTACTTGTTTCTAAGTTTGCACATCTGCACACATTTAATGATCATCTAGGTAATATCCTCTTTTTTTTTAATAATTTTACCCCAAACAAGGTAATAAAGCCACTAAGACACATGAGGGTTTACTGAGTGTGAGAGAATATGAGAAAAACAAAACACTATAAAGGCGAGAGGACAATAAAAGTAAAGGAATTTAGAAGATAGTAGATAACTGACATTGCATTTAAAATTTTTTGACTGGGAGTTGACTGGGAAGCAAGAATCTAGAAAAGAGGTTCACAAGCAAGAAGTGTGAAAGAAACTGTTAGCATTAGTAATGAGACAATTAACTGAAATCAGAATTGAGAATATTGGAACTATTTGGGGTATCAGCATCAGAGAAATTTTAACCTAATTTCCAATTCCCCCCAAAATTCTTTGGATTACTTTTTTGTTTAAAACTTAATTTTTCATTCCTGGTATGAATGATAAAAAGATATAAATATTTATTGATTTTAAACTGTTTGTCTATATTTCTGAGATGAGGTATTATGTACAGTATTTACATTAGTCGGACTATTGTCCTCATCTTTGTCGCCATATTTGTCACAACGTTTCGGCCGTTGTACGCTCCGGCCTTCTTCAGGTGGTTGGAATTTCGAACTGAACCCTTTATTTCGATCACTGGGGTAGACTGTTCTAATTCCACGTGCCATGTTTTGGACACATGGCACAGTGGATAAAGGCGTTGGTTAGATCCAGTGACAGACCCAAAGAAGGTGAGTTCAATTCCTGGTTAAGGCAGTGGAGAACTTTCAGAGGGAAAATTAGCAGGAGATAACTGATAACTGACATCCATCAAAACATGGCACGTGGAATTAGAACAGTCTACCCCAGTGATCAAAATAAAGGGTTCAGTTCGAAATTCCAACCACCTGAAGAAGGCGGGAGCGCATAAACGGCAAACGCTGTGACAAATATGGCGACAAAGATGAGGACAATAGTCCGACTAATGTAAATACTGATTTTAAACTACCAGTAAAACTAAAATCTATAGATAATAATAACACCTCAGTATGATGTAAATTTATTTTATATATGTAAAAAAATAAAATAAAATGAAATGTGTAAGTTTCCATAAAGTTCACAAGTTTAAAGTCTGCTATTGTTCAAAATAAAATTTTTAATTTCTTTTTAAAGAAAAAAAGTGTAGTTTGAAAGATTTTTTTAAGATTTCTGACGAAAAACAATATTTCAACTGTAACTAGATACTTAAGTGATTTACATAAAGAAATTGTTCTATTTATTGTTTAAACTCTTACCCAATTTTTAAAATAAAAAGGATATCTAACTTTATTTCCTAAGCTTTTGTATCCATTTTTCTACTAAATGTTTTATTAATAAATGTACTTTGTTCATTAAGTTTTCCAAACCAACTGTAGGGCCTGAAAATAATGAATTTTAATCATTGTAAGTATTGGAATCAGAAATTTAGAACAGTATCAGGTATTGGTAAAAATATTGGTATAGTTCAATTACTAGTTAGTATAGAACTTTCTGTTACATCTAGCCATTTCAACTGTAAAATGACGAGACCTTGCTGCCAATCTAGTACTGTGTTTAAATTCATAGTCTGGGTGCCAAAGAGAAAAGCTCAAGAGAACAATTACCAAGAAAATGTTAATAAAAAAAGGTATAGGGAAGCTACGTTACAGCAGTAGGAAAGTGACTGAAACTAAGATGTCAAGTCAGAACGAATAAAATTGCAGATTATTCTTTGTATTTTATCAAGAATCTCTAAATACATAACAGAAGCACCAAACCAGTTGTGACAGCAATGTTCAATGCATGAAAAAATGGTAGACTTATAAATGTGTACGATAGATTCTTGCAAAAAAACTTACAGCAAACATGGAAAATGAGTCCTCAATAAGACAGTGTCAAAAGGCTGGTTTTTCCTTTGACACTGCTTTTAACTACTGCCACTCTCTGGCAATCAAAATGCATATATATATATATATATATATATATATATATATATATATATACACACACACACACACAAACTGTATAAATTCACTTTTATATGTTTAGGTTTTATTACAATTCTAATCATTGCTTTTAAAAACAATAAACATTGCCAAAGAGTAAAAGTAGTTAAAGACAGTAAAAATAATAGTGGTGTCAATGGAAAAAATCAGTCTTTTTGACTTTGTCTTATTGCAGGCATAAATGTCCACATTTGCTAAAGTTATCTATTCTCAGACTGATGATGTTTACAGGAAACCCATTTGGTCGTTTCTCCTCTGATTGCAGTTTCATGCATGAGCAGATGATGAGTATAGTAAATGAAATTTTCAATTCAACAGCTCTTCATACTACAAAAGGTCAACAAGTTACGCTGTTGAGGAGGAACAAGTCTATTTGTTTTCAGAAAAAAAACTCTCAATGATTGAAATTCTTTACAGAAAGGTGAATGAGATTTATGATTTCACATGAGATCATATATCTATACAGACAGAAGTAACACAACATTGTTGCTACTAGAGATTTGTTGCAAGCCCATAATATGGTAAGGGGGAGGCAGAAGTATTAGTAGAGAAAAAGAAAGATTAAACTCAAAGACAAGTTTCCATACCACAATATTCTGGTATGACTGTGATATCTGGTTTTGGTCAGTGAAAAGCTGGCCATTTACTATTGTTACCCACTGGTTCTGAAGATCCTGTATGACAGTTTCAAAGTCTTGCATCAATCCCTGAAAAATATTTGGGAAAGTTTTCATTTAATATTATGACAAATTAAAAAAAAGAGGTAAAAGGAGGAAAAAAGTACAATCATAAAAAACTAAATACATAAATCACTTGGAATGCTTCTATTTCACTGAAATAGTTTTCCAAACAGTCTTATATATTTACCATTTCATTGGATTCTTATCCAAACTTTAATCAAAATCAGGAATTATCTTTCTATTCTTCTATGTGATAGAAGGATGTTGATGGTCATGGCTCTCTAAAATTTCCTGTCCTTTTTAGCACTTAAATTTTGTCTTTTGTTATCTCCTTGAAATTGTGCTCAACTATTCATTTACTCAGACTCACAAGATAGCTTGTGCATTGTTTTACTCTTGCCCTTAATCTGACCTTGTGAGTATCAAATTTTCCAAGCCCTTTTTCCTTATTATGTGTCTTAGAAATTTCAACTCTCTCTCTTCCTAATGTTAAGTGTTTTTTTTGTTTCCATTTTCCTTAAAACTTCCTGTTCAATCCATAGTATTGACAGCATCCTTCCGCAGAACCACATTCCTGTTGTATCAAGTCTCTTTTTCATCTGTGAGAAGATTGTCTAGCAAATCACCCCCCAAACACTGTGGGCTCTGTTATGTTGAAAAGGGGTACTGGGAGATTTTTTTTTATTATTTCATTTGGTGGTGGGGAGTGGATCAGTGAACATACTCAGTTGGTGGTGGGCAAGTGTCCATTTTTTCAGATTTACAAAAATTATTCAAGATTGGCTACAAAAGGAAATTTCTGAAAGTGCTGTGGAAAGCTATCAAACTTTTCTTCCTTGCTTTTTCAACTTCCTATATGGTTGAATGTGATTTCAACTCAGCTGCAGAGCTTTTTTTTACTAAACAAAGAAACCGCATACAGATTACAAAACGGGGTGATTTATGAATACTTCCAAGAAGCATGGAACCTAGATTAAGAGCCTTAGCCATTAAGCACCAAAGTCAAGAATTGCATTGAAAACATTGAGATAAGCTATCAAATAAGTTTTTTTTTAGAATTTTAATCATTGGCATTTCTAATAGAAATGAAAACAGTATTAACAATATTTTTGCACTATTACCTAAGTGTTATCTTGCTATGAAAGATAAAACCAGTATAATATTCAAAATTTAATTTGACTGGGGGGCGTTAACAAAAAGTTTGTGCCCAAAGAGGCAGCTGGTTGAGAAATACTGGTCTAGCATTTATTGTTATATAGGATGACTGATATTACATAAAACTTCAGCAAATTATAGAAAAATAGTAAAAAAAAAAAAAAAAAATTAAGCTACAAAGATTGACTTTATCTTAATTCCTTTTATTAATGTAATTTAAACAGAAAAAGAACAATAATCTGAACGTAAAAGATGAATTTTCTTTTACACCATTAACATTCAGACTATTGAGTGGACAATAATCTGAATTTAAATAGGGTAAATAATGATATCATTGAAACTGGAATCTTTTGAGATGAAACATTGTCAGTTATTAACAAGTTTATTCGATAACTTAGATAATTTTCTATTTCATTTTTAGGATTAATAATTGTCAATATATTTTGTAATTTCAAACTGTTTTTCTCATCTTGGTTGTTACAGATCTTATAGACACAATGTTTCGACCAAGTACACTATCATCAGTTAGTGCTATACCAATAGTTTTACCAGTTATCAGAAGTCCATTGTTTTTGTCTAACATGCGCACCTGATGACTGGCAAATCTATTGAAACACCAACAACACTATAGATTTTCACATGAAAAAATACTATAAACAAAAAGGTTGCGGAAGCAAAACAAAAATGTATAAGTCACAAAACGTTATTGAACATAAAAGAATTCAGTTTGAATTTCTGGGATATGGAGATATCATTATTTACACTATTTAAATTCAGATTATTGTCCTCTCAATAGTCTGAATGTTAATAGTGTAAAAGAAAATTCATCTTTTACATTCAGATTATTGTCCTTCCAATAGTCAGAACATTAATAGCATAAATAATAGAAAATTCATCTTATTTACACTATTTAAATTCAGATTATTACATTCCCAATAGTAGGAATATAATAGAAAATAATAAATAAAAAAATTAATCTTATTATTCACACTATTTAAATTAAGAGTATTAGCCTCCCAATAATTTGAATAGTAATAGTGTATATAATAGAAAATTCATCTTAAAATTTGAGAAATTTTAAATTAAAGCTTTAAATTTCATCAAAAATTAAAAAAAAAAC